CTAGAGTTTATGATTTGGGTTCTTTTCCCAAAAGTCTGATGTATTCAAAAAAAGGAAGAAGAAGAATTGATCTGCGTGAGAAGAAGGAAGAAGAAGAGAGTGCATAATGAGAGGGATAAGGGTTGTCATTTTGGAAAAGTTATAAGGGCGTTATGGGAAAAACGAAAATTTCATTAGAAGGACCGGTTGTTTTAAAAAAAAAGTAGCATCTCAAAGTTGGGTCCAAGCAGCTTTGAGAAACTGATGTGGATGACCTTAGTTTTTAAAATAAGCTGGCTTTCTTTGGTTTACCAAATACTTTCACTTGCAAAACTTATTTTTAAAGCTGCTTATTTTTTAGGGTAAACTACAGTAAACCCCCCAACCTATAAGGTTATTTACGAGTTGTTCACCCCGTTTCGTGAGTACTCTTGAGATGGAAGGGCAAAGTTTCTCACTGCCTTGAAAACCATTAACTGGTCAACAAGTCAGCTTTTTTTGGTGTATGAGCGTGTCACTGCTAGCAATGAAGATTCAAGCAGATTCATTCTAGAATAGATAACTTGCGCCCCAAGTTACCGATTTCTGTAAACAAACGATTATGAATTTGGGTGAGGAATGTCTCCCAAGTAAGTTCTTTTCTTGCCTCAGACTGATGAGGAACTTTAACAATTTATCTCAGTATAAAGAGGTTGTTCTGGCCAAAATGGTTGATGGAATTTAAGCTGTCTTACAGAACTGCCTTTTACAAAACTATAAAAATAAATCTGCCTTTTACAAAACTATAAAAATAAATACCCACGCTAGAAAGATAAAAAGACAGCTGTAACTCCATTTCTGCCTGGACAGGAGGATCTGACCCGGCTGGACTGGAAATATCTGGGCTGGACTGAACTGTCAACAACTTCAACTGCTAAGTTTCAGCTACAAATCGATACCAAAGTTCAAATTTGGCAGAGTTTTAATACACTTCAAGCTTTGGGAGGCTTTTGAGCAGGCAAAACTGCAGCTTCTTCAGTTTGAATGGGCAGAAGTGGCTGTTCTTTAGGATTTAGTGAGCTAGAGACTGCGCTGTGAGATTTGTTGAGGTTTTCATGTTTGGGAAAACTCAAACTCTACTTGTTTTGGGTTTGTTGAACCAAATTTGTAACGAGAGAGATCTCGTTTTGAATAGTTAAGTATGAACTTTGGGAAATCTGATCTAAAGCTGGTTTTTCTTGGAGTCCAAGTGAGCTTTTGGTTGATTTTTGAGTTGTTTGTTTGATTGATGAATTCAGTGTCCTTTTTTCTCTGCCTGTTCACTCCATCTTATATTTACAAGAAATGCACAGGGGCAGGGTTTCTTTCTTTAAAATAATGGGCGGCAAGTCTTCTCAAAGATCTGCAAAGAGATACAAAAGAGGGAAAGATTTAATTTCTTTATGTCAGATAGGCTTTTATCAATCAATCTTTGAGATCACTTCCTTTTTTTTTTTTAAAAGCCTAATTCCTTTTCCCAATTTAACTGCGCCTTGTAAGATTTCAACCGTGATGGTTAGTTTGATTTCCCATATGAACAACTCTTTGTCCTCCTGCTTATCTCCTTTTTTGAAAATATGTCATGCGTATCTCTTGTAATGATGGTGCCTCCTTGGAGTGAAATCAATATTTTTGAATATATAAGAAGGATTTTGATCTTCTAGTGGCAGAAATTCAGAGAAATCCTTTTGCCACTGACCTGCTTTAATTAATTCTCAATCAACTCAGTTGAGTTTGTTGACTTTTCCATTTTGGTAGTCACGTGGGTTCTGAAAATGGGTCCTTTTTTTTTTCTTTTAATCATGCTGGGCCCATTCTGATTTGTCTGGAGCCCAAAGGTGACTGCTTTTCTTTTGTGGCCCAAGTTTGCTTGCCATATTTTGATGAGTCTTAGGCTGAGCCTCTCTGGACTTTGGGCTTTGCCTTCTGTTTTGCAAAAGCCCAAACTACTTGAGTTCTGTAGCTTTTATTCTGGGCTTTCTCCATGTTGGGTTGGACGCGTTCAATTTAGGCTCAAACATGAGTGCATATCCGATTGTGGGAACATTTATGAGTACATACTCAACGTCGCGGAAAACCTACAATTTGCCTCATCTGTTAGCCAAATTATTAGTTAGTCTGTTAAATGCTGACGTGTCAAAAGTGGGACCCTTTTTTTTATGACGTGGACTTCCACGTGGATTAAAAATTAATAATAAATTTTTTTACTGTTTAAATTATTTTAAAAGATCTCTCTCTCTCTCTCTCTCTCTCTCTCTCAACCCTCTACCCAGCGAACCCAGCTACTCCAGCCACCCAAACTACCACCTATCACCTCTCCTCCCCAACACAGCCCAATCCTCAAATCCCCAACTCCTGCAACTTTAGACTTCGAGAACTTGGTCACGTTTTGAAAAACAATTGGTATGGTTTCAGATTGATAGAAACCATAGATTCGTATCACCTACTTGCTAAAAGCACAAATAGAATTGCAGATCTGTATTGCTTGAATGAAGACACCCGATCTCCCCGACTTTCCCAAATGCCCGCCACAGGTCCTGCTCCTTTTCGAGTTGATTTTTTCAAACCAACAAAATTTATTAGACTAATAGATAGATCTAAAACACCAAACTCTACATAAATGAAAATAACAGGGCATACCATGGTCTGGGGCCAAACCAGAGTTGACACGTGGTTGAGCTTAATTGTTCATGTCCTCAAAGTTCAAGTTGAGGGCTTGAACTACCTTGGCTGGGAGCAGAACAGTTGGGAAACCTGTAATTTAAACACAACATGTTAAACAAAATAGTTCCAAATTGAAACAGAACGATCCTAATCACAAATAGTTGAGTTTCAGAATCTCAATTTCAAAATGCAAAGGGTTCCCATTAGTACATGCTTTCTTGCGAGGCTCAGGAGCAGGGTTGGTGTATCTGCGAGGCAAGAACACGCCTGTTATTGGGAGGATTATCGGATCAACGGCAGAGATTTCGTCCTGAAGCGGTCACACTCTTTGGGATTCGGGCGAAGCTCGGCGTCAGCGGAGAGGATGATAGTGACGGCGTCATCGTGGTAATACCACAGAGGAAGCTTCTGGAGCAAGCGGTCGTCGCCTTTTGGGTTGTTGATGAAGGCTTGGATATTCTCTTTTAAGTCAACGTACAGAGGCAGCGTGAATATTAAATCGCATTTCTTCCGCCGGAAATTCTTCTTCCCGTTGACGGAGCCGAGCGCGAGATTCTCCGACGGCAGCATAGGAGGATCGTCTCAGCGGAGCAAGTCGATGACGAGTCCAATGTTCATTTGATGTTCTGGGTCTGGGTTCTTAGAGAGAGAGAGAGAGAGAGAGAGAGAGAGAGAGAGAGTGTGTGTGTGTTTGTGTGTATTTTTTTTTTAATATAAATAATTTAAACAATAAAATACTTTTTTTAATTAATTTTTGGTCTACGTGGAAGTCCAAATCATCAAAAAATAGGTCCCACTTTTGACACGTCAGCATTTAGCAGATTAACTAATAGTCTAGCTAACAGAGAGGGCAAATTGTAGGTTTTCCGTGACATTGAGTATGTACTCATAAATGTCCCCAAAATCGGGTATGCACTCGTAAATGATCCTATAGGTTGGGGGGGTTTATTGTAATTAACCCTATTTTTTAATCACCACAATCCCGAATGCAGCCTTACTTTCTCATAAGAAGAACCGTAGTGTGAGCAGCAATACTTCAATTTTCTCCAAGGTTCTCTAGCTTCTCATGAGTTTTAGCTTTGAGATTCACGACGCAGGCTCTAAGTTGCTTTTTAAAGCTGCTTTCAAAAGAAGTAGAGATAAACCTTTAATGAATTTTTTGAATTCCCAAAATACCATCATTCATTTTTAAAAATGATACCACCTCCACTTCCACATCCAACTCCACCCCTTGCACCACCACATTCACTACCTCCACAACCACCACCACCGCCACCACCACCTCAACCACCACCACCACCACAACTACCACCTCCTCCAAAACCTCCACATTCACCACCACCTCCATAACCAACACCACCACCACCACCACCACAACTACCACCTCCTCCAAAACCTCCACATCCACCACCACCTCCATAACCAACACCACCACCACCACTACTACCACAACCACCACCACTACCACAACCACCAACTCCACCTTCATCACCACATGATTAGTACATAACACTTTTAACATCATGTCTATTTTAGTTGTTATTCACAGTTACAACAATTTTATATTAAAATTTACCAAACGGTTTTACATTGCTTTTTGTACTAACAACGCTTTAAAATTATTGTTTACCAAACATAGAGCTGTTTTACTTTACAATTAATTATTTTCAAAGCACAACAGAAGCAACTTTTTTTGAAAGTGACAGCAATCCCAAGCTGGGCCTTAATGGGAGTGTGAAGAAGGCGATAAAGAAGAGCAACCATAGCCGGCGTGGGCTTCCTCCATTTGTGTTGGGTTTATGGATTGATGGAGGGAGGGGGGTGGGGAGATGGAGGAGGATGAACTTTGTGTTTGTGTTGGTGGGAGGCGGTTGAAAGGAGTTGGGATGGGGATAAAGGTTTTTTAATTTTAGTTTTTGAATACTGTAATCTTATTTCTTACTAGCCTTTCCGTACGCGTTTCCGCGTTTGCGAGAGACATATTTAAAATTAATTTTTTTTTTAGAATTAAAAAAGATAATGGGTAGTTGTGTTCCATAAAAATAGGATCTATTATCTGATTTTTCTTTTAATTTTAATTTTTTTAATGTTTGCATTAACCAAATGTATTTTATTATATTTTGAATGTTTCACAATTCTCTGTCTTTTGCTATATAGTTCTTATTTTTAAAAATTGAATTTTCAAATATTTTATTATAATTTTATGCCAGAATAAGAAAATAAAAAAATACATTTGAAAAATAAAAATAGTTGGTCTCGATCATTAATGACATTGTTTTAATTATAAGGAAAATGACACGTGTTATTACCAAAAGGGAGAATATTATGCTCTCACTTTCTCCCTCCTCACCAGAGATTTAACCACTTCTAGATTGAAGATTTCCGACCTCCGAATTAAAAGCTTACGTGGTCGCCAGCCACCGTAGGGTCTCCGGTGAGGACGAAGGAAGTGAGAGAATGGGGGAGAGAGAGAGAGAGAGCGGGATGGACTGGGGAGCGACCGTGACGGCGCTGGCGATGGAGAATGGAGGGGATGTTGGGTGGTGGAGGAGAAGTGGGATGGGTCCCGGGGAGTTTTTATTTTTCACTTTTTGAACGGTAAAAGGTAAATTTTATGTATAGTCAATTTTTGGCTCCAAATACTGAAATAGGCCCAATCCAATTAATCAAACAGCTCCCTTGTTATATTAATGCAGATTTTCTTGATAGATTTATAGGCGTTTGGCTAAATACAAACTCAAATCCGTAACGAGAGAACTGCAGAAACCTGGGAGCACTAAAATCCCGTCCCCCGTCATCCTTCGCCCGCCGTGAGGGTCGGTTGTGAATCAGCAGGTTTGTGTTTCGTTGTTGCAATACTTTCTTTTAATTTATATTCATTTTTTTGTCCTTCTTATGTGATGGATTCTTAGATTCTCTACATATACTTTCTATTTCTTTCAACTTTTGCGCCGTGCATGTCCCTGAAAACTCTGCGTCAGCGTCGTCTACTTTTATTCTTAGAATTGGGAAAAGTAAAAAGGTGCAATGACATTAAATTTCACTCCTTGGTCTATTGGTTGAAAGAGGGTCTTTAACTAATAAATTTACTTATGCGTACATAGATTTTGGTTTATGATCCTACTGGTGCTGTCGATGCTTCCAGTCCAAGTTGCTTTATCAATCTTGTTTTGTATACATTTGGCGGGTTGATGCATCACTATGGTAGCACCGTGCTCATTCGTCAAATTTTAACTTTTTTAGTAATTCTCTTAGTCAGCTGGCCTAGTATGTTTACTCCTCATTTGGTTACAACTCTAGACTATTTTACAATTTGATACAAAATTTTCAGAATGGAGTAATCTTTCTAGTTTCTTACTACTTTGGGGTGATTTCACGGGTAGTCTTACAACTTTCTATTTTCCAGTTCCAGAAGTGCGCACGCCAACTTCAGATAGTTTTTTGAAAGGTTAGTAGAATTCAGTTACCATTGCTTCAATCTCCATCATCTTGCTGTTCTGTTTCACCTACTGGAATCCCATCTATAGTTTTAAGCTTTATTGAGGAAGTGGATGTGGGTTAATTTGATGAGAAATAAATGGTGAAAAAAATCTGTAGATTTGACACTTGCTTTAGAATTATGATGGAGGCTGTGTTGGGAAGCTGAACTGAGCTGGGTAAATCTAGCGAAATGCACGGCTCTTTTCTGGGAAAAGCAAAAGGCTTTTGGTGTGGGATTAAGGCAGCAGTTTTATGCAGTTGCAGTGTGTTGGTTGATTTGGTCGCAGAGAAACAAAAAGGACTTCTGAAAACCGTAGTGGGGAGGGGAGTGCAGAGTTTGGGGGACAAAGTCAGATTTCTGATGTGACTATTCACATCGGTTTCTTCTAACTTTCGGGATATACCATTTTCTTTTATTTTTCCAGATTTGAGAGCTGTTGCTTGTTAGGAGTCTAAGTGTTTTTATTCACTTTTTGCTATTTTTGGGACAGAGGACTGTTTTACTTTCGTTGATGTATTGAAGTGCACATCTTGCTCACTATCATTGTACTCTATTGTGACAGGAATAAAATATTTTCTCATAAAAAATAGGTCTTTAGATTCTTTTTCTCTATACACACATACACACACATACCACACTGCCTATATAATTGGTCTTCACTGGGTTTTATTGTGTTATAGGTTTTTTGACATTCTCTTTTTAACAATCTCCGAAATCAACAAATGCTGACACCATTCAAATAAGTGAAATAAAAGACGGTGATGTGAGTTATAAGCCTTGACAACAAATGCTGACACCATTCTCTTTGTTCATTTCATTATGATGCTTTGATGTCCATATCTTGTGTGGTGGTTCTGACAGAGAATGGAAAGAACAGAGACTATAGATAATTTCAAAGTTGGATCTCTGCCGACTTTAATTTACATTCCTGACTTCATTACGGATAATGAACAAACCATGCTTCTAAATAAGGTAGAAATCCATATTTGTCTTACATATTCCATCCTTCTTTCCCAATGCTTTATTTTTTTATGAAATTTCTCAGTATGCTGGCTTCATTGCTTTATAGATATATGAAGCCCCTGTATCGAAGTGGAAATCTTTAAAGAATAGGAGGCTACAAAACTGGGGTATGTTTGTGTTTATCTGGGTTTATGTATATTGGTTTTCTATATGGTGTTTTTTATATTTCACTTGCATATAATACCTAGAAGATATGGAGGGAACTCCATCATATTGACTTTGATTAGTTTTTCCTGTCTTTGAGTGACAGGCGGTACTGTCCATGAAAAGGGTCTTCTACCACAGGATTGTAAGTGGGAAATAATTTATTTTATCACATGTGGAGAATATTTGCATTTCACAAATTGATGTGTCATTGGGTGTTTGGTGAGAACCCACTAGAAGCAATTTTTCTAGGGGTGGTTTTCCGGGTATGGCTTTGATGCACTTTTTGAGTGATACCAATGTAACATTCAAGGACTTACTGAGAAATAGCATGGCTTTGCCATTAATGGCAAGGACCCATTGGGTGTTTGGTGCCAACGTATTTGCAGCCATCGCCACGGGCACTGCCTTGCTTCAGATTATTCCTAGCCATCACTTGTCATCATACGCTGCCTATGCTTCTGCATTCGGTATTTCAAGTCCTATTGGTGTGGCCATTGAAATCATAATAGATAGGAGAACCGAAGGTGCTGTGCCAGATTTGATATCCGCTATTTCAGTGGGTCTAGCATGTGGAATGTCCATCTTTGTAGCAGTAAACCTTCTATTAGTGAAGCAGATAAATAGTGGAGAAAGAGAGAGGGCAAGAGGGTGACTGAGAGAAGAAAAAAGAGGAAGAAGAGAAAGAAGAGAGAAAATGACAATTTTAATGGAGACTTAGGCGCTACATTACTATACAGCGTATTCTGGGTATGACATTGTAAAGATATTTTTCGGTTGCAAAGTCCCACAGCCCAAATAGTCCATGTGGTATCTGTGCAATTCAACAACTCATGAAGTTATTGCCTCCACAGCCAAAAAAAATTATATTGCCTCTACAAGTCATAAGTCAGCATTAAATTTGTAGAACTTCCATAGGATGTGGAGACTTGTTTAGTGTTCACCTTGATTTGTGAAGATAATTTTAGTGGCAAATTTGTTGGCCTCTTCTTGTAGGAAGTGCGAAACTAATGATATAGAGGTCTTTAGAAATTTCAATGTGATTAAGCAATTGTTCATAGTATATTGCCAGTTCATCATTGTTTGTGAATTATTTGTCTGAAACAATAATCTCTCTCTCTCTCTCTCTCTCTCTCTTGCAGTGCCCTCATGGCTAACCAAGATTACATACAAGATATATGAAGAATCAGGGCTTTTTCCATTGCCAATTAATCATGTCCTTATCAATGAATACCTTCCTAACCAAGGCATTATGGTTCGCCCGAAACTCAAGGCTTTTATTGGTCATTGCTTACTTTTTACATGTGCATACTTTTGTCCTTGTTTTAGTTCAGTTTTCTCCGTGTCCTTGAAATAACTTAGTTCTTACAGTTACAAGTCCCTTAAATTTTATTTCAAAGTTTTGAAAATTAAAAAGAGAGGGATTACAACTTTTTCATGGATTTGAACCCATAAAATGAACAAGTAATACATTTCAAGTCCATTGCTGACAAGAAAACGTGTACCGGCCACTGCTTTGACAACCCACAGGTAAGTTTCCAGTCACTTCAAAATTGCGTATTAGTGGTAAAAAATGTGCAGATTTGAATTAAGGAAGGCTACGTATGTGGTTTTTGATTGGATCTTTGAAAGATGAGGCTCTGAACAAGACATCAAAGTGCCTTTGAGTTTCTCTGAATGTCTGGATTTATGGATTTGAACCATTAAAAATGTATTTTTTTGTCTCATAATTCATGGAGATATCTGTCCATAGCATTTGTGCTGCAATGAGGCTGGTGTCTGGTTGGGATGGAGGAATGAGTGGATCAGGCAGAGAACTTTGTTTCCTAATCTCAAAATATACAACACATTGGAAAATCCTGTTCATGTCTGACTTTGGTTACAGAAATCTGAACCAAAAATATAATCAAGATATTTAACAATTTTATGGACTTTAAAGTGGAGCAAGATACAGGGACCAAAATATATTATTTTGAACTTTCTTTTACTTTTGATTTATTCTTATTGTGTGACTTGAACTTTGCCATGCATTTGCTTGGTGATGGCTTGTCTTTTGATTACTTATTGCTTTTCAGTTGTCCACTAACGGAGTTTTCCAATGAATTAATGTTTTTGGTGTTATGTTGGATTATTCCGTTGGAAATTTGAGCCTGCTATACTTTCCTACATTATTTAGCTGCAAGGTGGATGCGTGTGTTCTTATTACAACATTTCTTCTTTTCTTTTGGCCTGAGCCTCTTCTTGCAATAATTGTGTATCATACAGGCACACCAGGATGGGCCTGCTTATTATCCAGTTGTAGCAATCTTGTCCCTCAGGTCACCTGTTGTTATGGACTTTACTCCCCATTCAAGACTGACATTGTGTAGAAGCATATGCACAAATGATGTTGAGGATATAAATTCTGATAGGGGAGTTACTAAGATTGATACAGATAAGTCAATGGATGTACACCATCCTTTTCCTGTCATATTAATGCCGCGCAGCTTGATGATCTTCAAAGATAAAGCATACTCGGGTTTGTATCTTTTTGTTAAAGTAACAGCTCGATCTCTAGCTATTACTTCTTTATTCTAACAGCAAATCTGGGCATGTCCTACTTGTGATTTTCAGATTACTTGCATGCTATCAAAGACGGTGAGGTACAATGTTATGATGGGGTAAGATTAAATTTTCCCCCCTCTTTTGGTAAGAAACAAAAATGTTGTTAAAATTGAGGAACAGTTCAAAGTAATGAAAGCACCAGCAGTCATACCTATGTAGAAGAGCAATGATAAAGAAAACAATACAACACATTGAGGAAAGAAGAAAGTCAGTCTAAAACACCCTTCTCCAAACCCTAAGGTTTTTAGGACTTCCAGAAATTCCTGCAAAAATAGATGAAACTGAACCCCATAATGAATCAAAATACATCATTCTTATCCAATAGATCTTTAGTTGTACTAAGTGTCTTTGAAAGGTTAGTTGTGCGTAATGAGCCAATAGAATTTGCCTATCAACTCGGTGCCAACATAAGTTACATAGATTGGCCATTTTCCAACTGTTTTTTGTTATCTTTTTTTGTTCAGGCTGTAAATGAAGTAGAAGCTCTACATGGGCAAGTTATGGATCATGCTTCGTCACAATTGGATGGAGCTGTTGATGTAATGAAAACTGGGGACCTCAAGAGTATTCATAGAACTACCCCTAGAATTTCATTGACATGTCGATTAGTTCCGAAAGTTTATAAAAATGTGTTCAGGTTTTAGTCTCTGGCAAGTCTAATCTATCTGGAAGCTTTTCACCTTTAAGAGCTTCAGACGATGACCTAGTTTGATGCGGGTGGTACTCACAGAGATGTGAGATGTATTATGGATGATTTAACAAACTTTGCCATACTACATAAAAATAGAGCGAATTCATTTCTTTCACCAATGATCAATTTATATTTTATATTGCTTTTATTTTTTGTCAAAAATATTTTATATTGATTTGATTCTAGCTGTGAGGCATGAGCCCGTTTAACATTTTCTTTTTGGTCTGGACAAAAAAAAAAAAGTAGTAACTTTTAGACACACCGGTTTGTAAATTTATATCTCCAGCTTAGTTTTTTTTTGGATTAACTACACTTTAGTTTCTGGAGGTTTAGTGTCAATATTGAAATGAGCCCCAATGTTTCATTTTAATCAATTTCGTACTCAACATTTCGAAATATTACAAATTTACACCAGCCGTTACATTGACCGTCAAAGTCAGACGTTAACTGCTGACGTGGTAGTTGTGGAACCCACCTCATAACCAAGTAGTAGTTAGAAAGAGACGAAATAAAGGGCAATTTTGAAAAAAAAAAAAAAAACTCTTTAAAAATATTATTAAATTAGATTTTTTTTATTATAAGAAAAATCCCTACTTTCTTTCTGCCCAGAACTTGAAAACCCAACTCCCATCTTCGACCCATCTGCGACCACCTCCCCACCCAACCGCCATTGAAGCCATACAAACCCCACCCACATATCCCCCCCTTCCTGACTCACTATCTCATTCTCTCCCCTTCTCCTCCTGTTGTCCCAAAAGGATGACTGGCTAGATGATGCCTCTCCTGCAGAGCAGCGAGAGCTGTTGGAGACAAAATCTGATAAGACTGTTAGAGTTAACAATTTTATTATTCAGATTTTTTTAGTTAATCAGTCTGTTAATAAGTCCTATCCTTTAGGGACTAGTTGTTTGTGTTTTTAACAAATTCCTATTAGTCTGTTACCACGTTTTAGGGTGTTGCAAACGTGGGCTGTTATTTTGATTTTATCTCTTTGTAAAAGGCTTTATAAGCCTGCAGTTTGTTATCAATGAATAAGAACTTTTCATTCAAGGTTGTGTGCTATAGTTTCTTCTGAGTGTTCTCAACAATTGGTATCAGAGCCCCATCATAGGGGGCCTGATTATGAGTGTGTGTGGAAAGAAACCGCAGTTTTCTTTCAGAGTAAGGGAGTCAAGTAGAATGGCGGAGAGCAATAGCAGTGGTTTTGTGCAGCCGGCCATTCCTAAATTTGACGGACATTACGATCATTGGGCAATGTTGATGGAGAACTTTCTTCGTTCCAAGGAATATTGGGATCTCGTAGAGAATTGGATTTCAATGGTGGTGACACAATCTGTCTCTCCGGGGGTGGAAACAGAAAAGGCAGAAGCACAACACAAATTGGTCGAGGGGCAGAAGTTGAAGGACTTAAAGGTAAAGAATTACCTTTTTCAAGCTATAGATCGGAATATCATGGAGACTATACTCGACAGAGACACATCAAAGAGTATTTGGGACTCCATGAAACAGAAATACCAAGGCTCTACCAAGGTAAAGAGGGCCCAGTTGCAAGCACTTCGGAGGGACTTTGAGACTCTCCACATGAAGGAGGGGGAGACTGTTGATAATTTCTTTGCTCGTACTCTCACTATAGCCAACAAAATGAAGTCTCATGGTGAGACAATGAGCCAAACCATCATCAATGAGAAAGTTTTGAGGTCCATGACTTCAAAATTTGATTATGTGGTTTGCTCCATTGAAGAGTCCAATGATTTGAACACACTGACCATTGACGAGCTACAGAGCAGTCTGCTAGTCCATGAACAAAGAATGAATGGTCATCGAGGAGAGGAGCAGGCTCTCAAGGTCACTCATGAAGACAACACTAGCAGAGGAAGAGGTCAAGGGACGTTCAGAGGAAGAGGAAGAGGTCGTGGCAGACAACCGTTCAACAAGGCCACTATCGAGTGCTTTAAGTGTCACAAATTAGGACACTTTCAGTACGAGTGTCCTAGTTGGGAGAAGGGAGCCAACTATGCAGAACTAGATGAAGGAGAAGAGCTGCTATTAATTCCTATGTAGAGCTTAACCATGCTAAGAGAGAAGAGATCTGGTTCCTCGATTCAGGATGCAGTAATCATATGAGTGGGAATAAAGAATGGTTCTCGGATTTGGATGTTCAATTCAGGCAAACTGTGAAACTAGGCAACAACTCAAAGATGGCGGTTATGGGAAAAGGAAACGTTCGAATGCAAGTGAATGGAATCACTCAGGTAATTTCTGAGGTCTATTACATTCCTGAGTTCAAAAATAACCTGTTAAGTATGGGGCAGCTTCAAGAAAAAGGTGTGGCAATTCTGATTCAACATGGGGAGTGCAAAGTGTTTCATCCTAGTAAGGGTCTAATCATTCAGTCCGAGATGAGCGCGAACAGGATGTTTGTTGTGCTCGCAGCAATGATGCCTAAAGCTACTACCTGTTTTCAAGCTGTGATAGAAGATGATATTTATTTATGGCATTGTAGATTCGGACACTTAAGCTTCAAAGGGTTGAGAACTCTTCAATACAAACAGATGGTTAGTGGTTTGCCTTCTCTTATAACTCCTGCAAAGTTATGCACAACGTGTTTGCTTGGAAAGCAGCATAGGGAATCCATTCCAAAAAGAAGTCTATGGAGGGCATCACAAAAGCTGGAGTTGGTACATGCCGATATATGTGGCCCTATAAAGCCTGTATCAAACAGCAACAAGAGGTATTTCTTAAGTTTTATCGATGACTTTAGTCGTAAAACTTGGATTTATTTTTTGCATGAAAAATCAGAGGCTTTTACCATGTTTAAAAGTTATAAGGCTTGTGTTGAAAAGGAATCAGGTGCCTACCTTAAATGTTTGACGACTGACAGAGGTGGTGAGTTCACCTCAAATGAGTTTGGGGAATTTTGTAAGGCAAATGGCATAACCAGGCAATTAACCACAGCCTATACTCCTCAGCAAAACGAAGTTGCTGAGAGAAAGAATAGGACTGTGATGAATTTGGTGCGTTGTATGCTCACTGAGAAGCAGGTTCCAAAGGCTTTCTGGCCAGAAGCTGTGAGATGGTGTGTGCATGTCCTCAACAAGTGCCCTACTTTAACTGTGCAAAATAGAACTCCAGAGGAAACATGGAGTGGTATGAAGCCTACAGTAGAGTATTTCAGAGTTTTTGGGTGCTTGGCTCATGTGCACGTACTAGACTAGAAAAGAATCAAGTTGGATGACAAAAGCATTCAGTGTGTTTTATTGGGAGTTAGCAATGAGTCGAAAGCTTATAGATTGTTTGATCCGGTCTCTAAGAAGATAATTGTTAATAGGGACGTTGTTTTTGAGGAGAACAAGGGTTGGAATTGGGACATGAGCAGGGAAGAAATGGCTTTGGATATGTTAGAGTGGGGTGATAGTGAAGAAGAAAATGATGAAGCTGAGAATGGAGGGGAACTTGGAGTAGAAGTTAATGAGAATGAAGAAGCTGGCTCAAATGGCACAAATGAAGTTGGTTTAAGTGGTTCAAGTGGCACCAGCTCACCTTCCAGCACCAGCTCACCTTCTAGTGAGTCACATGATGGGAATTCCTCGGGTCCAGTTGAAGGGAGGGCAAGACGAGTTCCATTTTGGATGCAAGATTATGAAACTGGAAAGGGTTTGTCAGAAGAAGAAGATGTGAGTGCCATGATGATTCTCACATAAGCTGATCCCATTACTTTCGAGGAAGCCGTGAAGAGCAAGAAATGGAGAGACGCCATGAATGCAGAGATTGAGGCTATTGAACATAATAAAACATGGGATCTGACTATCCTACCTGCAGGAGTAAAGACCATTGGAGTTAAATGGGTTTTTAAAACAAAACTCAATGAAAGTGGTGAGATAGACAAGTGCAAGGCTAGACTTGTGGCAAAGGGATATGCACAACAATATGGGATTGATTACACAGAAGTTTATGCTCCAGTTGCAAGACTAGATACCATACGTTTGGTAATTGCCCTAGCAGCTCAACAAGGTTGGAGTATTTTTCAGCTTGATGTGAAGAGCGCATTTCTGCATGGTGAGCTTAGTGAGGAAGTGTTTGTCCAACAGCCTCAGGGATATGAGAAGAAGGGCGAGGAACACAAGGTTTATAAGCTGAATAAGGCACTATATGGCCTCAAACAAGCTCCACGAGCTTGGTACAGCAAAATTGAGGCCTATTTTGCTAAAGAAGGCTTTGAAAAATGTTATTGTGAACACACGCTATTCACAAAGTCGAAGGAAGGAGGTAAGCTCTTAATTGTCAGTCTTTATGTTGATGATTTAATCTTTACTGGGAATGACATGAGCATGTGTGAAGAGTTTAAGAAGTCGATGATGTTAGAATTTGACATGATTTTGCTGGAGACTGTAAGCAACTCACAGCCTATTCAGATAGTGATTTTGCTGGAGATGTAGATGATCGCAAGAGCACTTCGGAGAGTGTATTCATGTTTAGTTCTGGAGCAGTGTCATGGTCATCCAAAAAACAGCCTGTGGTTAGCTTATCCACCACTGAAGCAGAGTACATCCCTGCTGCCTCATGCGCTTGTCAGTGTGTTTGGTTAAGAAGAGTTTTAGAGAAGCTTGGTTATATACATAAGAAATGCACTACAATTTTGTGTGATAACAGTTCAACTATAAAACTCTCCAAGAATCCTGTTCTTCACGGCAGAAGCAAGCACATTGACATCAGGTTTCATTTCCTTCGTGACCTGGTAAAAGATGGTGTGATTGATTTGAGTCATTGTAATACTCAATACCAGGTAGCTGACATTATGACGAAGCCGCTCAGGTTGGAGGTGTTTTTGAAGCTTCGTAGTTTGCTGGGCGTGTGTGAAGTTCCTAATATAAACTAAATGCATTCTGCATACAGTTTAAGGGGGGGAATGATAAGACTGTTAGAGTTAACAGTTTTATTATTCAGATTTTTTTAGTTAATCAGTCTGTTAATAAGTCCTATCCTTTAGGGACTAGTTGTTTGTGTTTTTAACAAATTCCTATTAGTCTGTTACCACGTTTTAGGGTGTTGCAAACGTGGGCTGTTATTTTGATTTTATCTCTTTGTAAAAGGCTTTATAAGCCTGCAGTTTGTTATCAATGAATAAGAACTTTTCATTCAAGGTTGTGTGCTATAGTTTCTTCTGAGTGTTCTCAACAAAATCCACTTCCACTTTGGTTGGGCACCATGGGTCTTCGAAAACAGAATCTACTTGCACTTCAGTAGTTGAAGCCCATGATTTAAGACCTGAGGATCAAACTCGCACGAAAGTTCCATCTACAGAACCTGCATCACAAACTCCTCCATCCATAATGGATTTGGGAAGCTTCGACCATCTACCCAAAGTGATACACCACCAGCAAGCATCCAAAGCACCTCATATTTTGACATGTCAGCTAACACAACAGCCACAGTAACGGTTGTAAAAAACCCTGCAAGCAATGTCCTGGATAGTTTGATTCGTCGTTGGGATTTTAACTTCTTTAGAAACAACCACAGTCGATAAGATGACTGTTCTTTCCTTCTATTTTTTGCTTCTCTCTTTAGATAATATGATGTATTGGCTTGTAACTAGAGTGTCAGGGTTCATGTTTTGTAAAATGCTCGACTGGAAAAGCAAAAAAACAAAAACAAAAACAAAAAACAAAAAAACAAAAACAAAAGAGGAAAAGAATAAAACCAGTGCTGTGAAGTTGTATTTTTAGTTGTAACAAAAAAGAAAGATGGTTTTTTGGTTGCAGATTCTATACATTAAAGTGTTCACAACACAGATGAATATATTTTCTGTTGGTGTTATTGATGTCGGAAATGATCTTTCGGTATCATCCTATCACATTCCTATGTTTATCTGGTGGTCAAGGAGATGAATTAGATTCCAAATTTCTCTCTCCCTGGATTCTTTCTATCAGACATTCAGTTCAAATGCTCTTGGAAATGTCCAGATTTCTCTTACCCAATGTTTTTGTTCCGACTTACAGTTTTAATTTTCTAACTCAGGCATTGGAGGCACCCGCGCCATCTCCGGCGTCCTCGGCGGCGACGACATCGTTTCCGAAGCCCCATTTCTCGATCCCCTTTGAAACCATTTATGACTCATCTTCATCATCATTTTCATGGTCCTCTTCCTCGTCATCCTCTTCAGCAATGGCCAACCCAACTCTCCGCCCCCCAATTTTTTGAGCCTCAGCGCTCATCGCCGGCAAGCTGGTGGCCTTCTTGATAGGACTCGAAGTGAAAGTGGGTAGAGGCGGCGGAGGCGGTGGAAGGTTGAGTTTTCGAGCTCTTGGGTCTGTTGAGTTTTCAAGCTCTTGGGTCTGTTGGAGGATTTCGAGCTCTTGGGTCTGTTGGGTTTTCAAGTTCTGAGCAGAGAGAGGGAGGGAGATAGGAGGAGAGAGAGAAAGTAGGGAAATTTTTTTTGTTTTTTTTGTTTTTAAAAATCTAATTTAATAATATTTTTAAAGAGTTTTTTTTTTCCGAAATTGCCCTTCATTTCGTCTTTTTCTAACTACTGTTTGGTTATAAGGTGGGTCCCACGACTACCACGTCAACAGTTAATTTGACTTTGATGGTCAATGTAACGATTGGTGTAAATTGGTAATATTTCGAAATGTTGGATATGAAATTGATTAAAATGAAACCTTAGGGCCCATTTCGATACTGACACTAAACCTCCAGGGATTAAAGTATAGTTAATCCTTTTTTTTTTTTTGAACACAATCTCCAGCTTAGTTATATATATATATATCAATATTTTATTTCATCTAGTAATTTCCAAAATAGCATATTTACCCCAGAAACTAAAAATGCTCCAAAGTAGCATATATATATAGGCTTGGAATGATCCATTATCAAATTAATAAAAAGATATTTATTATTTGAAATTCGTTTAATCAGTCATTTGAAAGGAAAGGGTGCATAAAATTAACCAAAAAAAAAAAGGTGTATAAAAAGTTGGGTGTAGATATAGATAATATAATAGTAAGTTGATTCTAAATAAAGACAATGATGTAAAAATTTTATTACAAATTTATAAATAAACCCAATCCTAGACAATGCTATATTGGATTTGAATCAGATTTCGGATCAATCTATATTGATTGAAATCAACTCCAAAGTCAACTTTTTGGGTGTGTTTATAAATGGGTTTTGAGTGTGTGTAATGATGGGTTTTGGGTGTGTTTATATGTTTCAATAATGCTTGGGTTTTTTTATAATTTCAACCCCCATTTTGGGTGTTTTAGTGAAACTCCCAAATTTTATTTTTGAGTATGAGCAATATTAGGAAGGAAAATTTCTCATACACACAATACTTAGTGTCATGGAAGTTCGAATTTAAAATTACTACTTTGCAAGTCGAAATCATTTTTTATTGAGCTCCATTGGCAATGACGTCAAAACTTTGTTTCGGTTGGGTGTTCGAACAAAAAAAAAAGAACTTTGATTGGGTGTCTAGAAAAGAACACTGTCTTCGGTTTCGGTTATGCCTAATCTCATCCCATCGGGGCTCCGTGTAATTCAAACTCAATTTTTATTTTTTCTTGGGTCTGAAAGCTTATTCTCAATTACAACCGAAATCCCAATGCAGGCCGACCCAATTGTTGAGTGGTCTCAAATATAAAGCCCAAAACAAAACTGAATTATCTTAGAATTGAAGAAAATGAAAAAGTAGAAAAGAGGAAATTCATAGCATCTCTCCAAGCCAACAGGAAAAAAAAAAAAAAAAATAATTTCATAGCAGTCGCCGTAAACGCGGTTGGGAAAGATACGAAGGAACCGAGGAAGAAAGGAAGGAGAGACACTACGTTGCCGGATATTGCACTTATTCAGGTAAGTCGTCTCGCCGGTGCCTTCACCATCTTTTCTGCTGATTACTCGCTCGATCTAACGCTTCCCCAATTGCCCTCTTGGCTTGCTTTAATTTTCAATTTTATCTGAAATCTTTTCGATTTCGTTCCAATTTTTCCAGAATACATTTGACTCCTTAGGTGTCTGAAGGAAATAGTTCGTGTATATTTCTAGTATTCTTCTACGTCTCGTACATGCTGTGGAGGGAGCACGGAATTGTATTTGTTTGATGACTTGTTCTGTATGGTGTCATTTGACTAATACCAGTACTTAGATTATTGGCGCCGTGTAAAGAAGAGGTGGGATGATCTATTATGGCGCAACAGTCCTCTCGTCTCCATCGCCTTCTCACTCTCTTGGACAGTATCCTTCCACCTTTTTCTTTTGCTTATCTTTTGGAATTATTGTTGAATGCATTTAGTTTATTTACCACTTGCATCAGCTAACCCCGCCCCCCACCCTCCTCCTTTTTGGTTCCTCTGTAATTTATTTACCATTGTCTCAATTTCCAAATGATTGTTTGAATTGGGTTTTTCTTTAACCCAACCCTAATAGCTGGTTCGACCCAAGCAACAAGATTGACAGCTGCTCGGCAGATAGGGGATATTGCCAAGTCGCATCCTCAGGACTTGAGCTCTCTGTTAAAAAAGGTATTACTGATTTCCACAATTGTTTCCTTGCAATCACATTATGCTTATTCTGAGACACTATCATCCTGCATCTCCGTTGCCTTGAAAATGAAATCAATGTGCCTTTTTAGTCTGTTAATTTCAAATTCGTACGCATCTTATGAAGAATGTGAGGTTTATTTCGAAGTCAGCATTGTAATGACTTAAATATGTCTATTTGTTTGAAAACTGGGGTTTTTTTTTTTTGTGGTTAGAGAGCAAACTAGAGCTTCACTCGTTCTGTTAAGCCTGGCAGAAAGTGGATAAGGTCTGATATATGTTAATGAGAAGATTCATAAATCCAGGAAAGAATATTGTAAATGTTGCTAAGAGCTACCATCCACTCAAATAAATTTTCAAGATAATCTGTTGTGTGTAATTTCAAATACTGCCAAATGTTTGGTTGTTTCTTTCACAAAAGAATTGCTATTCTTCTGATGATCACATCTGCCCTTCCAGCAGCAAACCGTAAAACCAACAAATTTATTAAGCATTACACACTGAATATTTAAGACCAAAGCTTTCTTGCAATTCGACAATTTAACACCAGTTTCTTTAATAACATTTTCCTTTCTTAGTATGGTAGTTTATGGTAATGGTCTCTCTCAAAGCCGCTGGCCCCACAAAGAAAACTACTTTCAGTTAGCTCTCCAGATTCCAAGCAAACTTTTTATCACTGGACTTGAACAAGAGCCTTATAATAAGAAATGAACCGCAATAATATACATGTATTAAAAGACAATTTTTGTAACCCAAAACGATGCTGAAACTGCACATGACCCCCATAGCCAATGTCAAATATCAGAGGACCTTAAACCTGTCCAAACCATTTTGAATTCCTTTACAATAACACTTCACCTCTTCATGTATGGCTCTCACATGCTCTTAAGGGTTACAAAATGCATGAAACAATCAACGAACCGGGTTAATCAACTTTGAATTGAGAGGAATACTAATAAATTCTGAATGATTTTTGAATGCAAGCATGGAAGCAGGTGCAAGCCAATCAGCAAGTCAACAGTGTACATTATAAGAGATAATAGATATGATCATGCAGCACCCAAAAAGAGGGAAGTTTCAAAATCACAATTGAGAGTTAATGCCTAGTATTTCTTGGTTCCCATAAGGAAATCCACAGACCTTGAATAAAGTCCCAGTGTAACTGTGTAGCTCATGGTTGGTGCTTTCAAATGGATGTTTAGGCTCACTGTGTTCAGGTTTATGAAGGTGCAATAGAGTAAAGCTTATAATTTGTAGTGGTGGGAATTTGGAATTAAATGTTCTGAGTATGAAGAAGGAGAAGAAAGGGAGTTAGAGAAATATGGACTCACTCTGACAACAGTTTCTTGGAATCACACCAAGAGCTCTCACGAATCACTCGAGGTTTTTTATATAAAAAAGATCAGGAATTTAAGGGCCAATTCAGTACAATTTTTCAAAAATGTTTTCATAAAATATTTTCAAAAAGTGAAAACAAAAAAATGAGTTTGTATTTTTAAAATGGGAGAATCTGTTTGGCAAACAACTCATTTTTCGTTCGCCACCCTCATTTTCTCACCTTATCTCCTTCTCTGGTTCCCTCTCGGATTCATTGAACCTCTCTCTCTTTCTCTTTGTCTCTCCTTCTCTAACTCTCTCTGGTTGCCTTTCGTATTCATCGACCTCCCTTTTGTTCCTTGTTGGATTTGCTGATCTCCCTATGATTCCACCGGTCGATGGTCAGTGGTGGTTTGATGGGCAGATTGGTTTGGTTGGGTTTGACGGTGGTGGTTTGATTTGCTGTGGGTAGTGTTGATGGTGGCTTCGATTGGGTGGTGGTGCTTTGATTTGGTACAGGTGGTGTTGATGGTGGGGTTGATTGGGTTCAATTGGGTGGTGATGCAATTGGTTGGTGGCTGGTGGCTGGTCTGTAGTGGTGGTTGTAGTTCGATTGGCTTGTAGTGGTAGTTGTAGTTTGATTGGCGTGTAGTGGTTGTTAGGTGGTGTTTGACGATGGTGGTTATGCTCTATCTTTTGAATCCATATTCTCTTGAAAACATTTTGATGTTTTCAGAATTATAACTAAAAGTTTGAATCCGTTTTTGGAAAGCATTTTCTGCATTTTCTCAACCTCACCACTGATTGCAAATCCCAAGTGTTTTCTAAGAATGAAAATTGAAATCGGCCTGGGAAAATGTCACCGAACATGCCCTAATCTTCCACATTATACAACTTAGAAATCCTAAAGGACCAAAAATGGAATGACCCATATTTATCAACCTCAAAATTCTAAGTCTGATCTCCATCAAATGCTAATTTCGTTTTTGATAAACACCCATGCTAATCGTAGCTTTATTTTAACCCTAATAACATTACCCCACAACATTGTTGACATAAGTTGACTAACAATTTGTTTGCGTGGCCCCATTTCTCCACACGTTGACTAACATTCCCCCAGAACTTATTTGGCGGCATAAGTTAACCTCAATCACATTATCCGTATGCCATGTCAAATCCCATTAACAAATTGTTTCTGTTTTTGTTTTTAATAGAACTCCAAGTTACTAAGTAAAACTGGAATATGAGGGTGAAGCCTGCTATCTACACATTTACCAATTAAACTTGTTTCTTAGGTTTTTTTTTTTTTGTTGGTTCTTCCGGGTTTAGGCTGGTTAATTGTACTACTTGGAGGTTTAGAAGTTCTTTTGTTTTGTTTTGTTTTGTTTTGTTTTTACTTTTGTTGTGGTCTTGGTGGGCTGCTGGCTCACTGTGGTTGTAATGGTTGTTCTTATTTCTTTTCGTTATAAAGTCACCTTGTTTTTATTTTTATAGAATAGAAGTTTTCTGCCTTTCTGTAAAAAGCATTCCCATAAATTCCGGGAAATTAGTAAGGCATCTTGTTTGATCACTTACCTCTGTACAGGTTTTGCTTCGTAATAAAATTTGTGTTTCTTCTCAAAAGAAAGAATATGTAAGAAGGCATTTCACATAAACTGTTGTATCTTTTTCTCCTTTTCAATTTGGCTTTTGCCGATAGATACTCTTGCTGCCACTAGAATTATGGTTTGTTTGTTTCTTGTGCTAAGTTTTATGTCAGTTTCTGTCTCTTAGCTATTCCTTTTTGTACTTGTTAATCTATCTTTTTTTGTGTGTAGAAAAGTATGTCTTTAACTTTAGTTCGTTCTGAGATTAGGTTTCCCAATATCTTCGTAGCAAAAACTGGGATACGAGGGTTGCTGCCGCTCATGCAGTTGGGGCTATTGCTGAGAATGTTAAGCATACCTCTTTGATTGAACTCTTTACTAGTATTGAATCAAAGATGTCTGATGCTGGGATATCTGGTGCTGTTGAAGATATGGTTGCTTTCCCGATTTTTGATTCTAACGTTGCTGGAACGTCATTTAGAAGGTGGGTATTATTGTAATTAATTTTAGATTTCCTATTGGGGTGGCTCTTGATTTGAGCTTTTGAATAGATGAGGCTTCTCGGAGGCATGGTTGTTTATCTAATTTAAAAATTTCAAAACTACTACAGCTTTGATCTCAACAAGGTTTTGGAGTTTGGTGCTCTGTTGGCATCTGGGGGACAGGTAATACAGTGTCTATTTTATTTTCGTTGACATAATTGCACTGACGTGAAGAAGGTGATTGTATATTTTTTGGGCTACCTCTTTGGTTTTTGATATTTAAGTTCGACTTTGTGATCTTGATTTTACTTTCTGTTAATATTTGTTGATATCCATGAAAGGAGAATATTGGGAGCATCAATCTAGTAGGATCTGTTAATGAACAAGTCTAGTAATTGTTAACTATTTATTTATGTATTTGTGCTACATTAAGAAAAATAATGAAACTATTAAGATAGTAGTTTTTAAAATACAGAGGTGATTAGAAGAGAGGGGGCCAAGAAATATTAAAAAAATTACTATGGATTTAACAAGAGAAATAGTGCTCTCCAGTTTTTGTTTTTACATTCGTTTAATCTTTTGTATTGATTATTCACATTTAAATTTCTGAAAGGATCTATGCTGCTGTTGCCTTTTTTTTGTTTATGTTTTGTTTTTAGGTGGTCTTTCACTTTGTGAAATGAAAAAGATAATGGTCTGCCCACTTAATTAACTGATACTAATAAGACTGAACATTTTAATAATTGTGAATCCCATCACTTTCTTTTATTTATAAATAATATTTGTGTTTCTTATAAAAAAAATAAAAAAGAATGTGGATACCCCGTTTGGAATGGCAGATGTTAAGTTTCAGTATTATTTGAGCTATAGTTGTTTGTGCCAAAGGATTGCCTAATTTGGTTAATTGCTTTTGTGGCGCAGTAAATTATTCTTGTTTTGTCTGATAAAAGAAATATTCATGTTTTGAGTGTTAATTTTCTTCTTTATAATTGATGCATTCATTTTTGGATTCAGGAGTATGATCTTGCAAATGATCATATGAAGAACCCAAGGGAAAAATTGGCTCGACAGAAACAAACACTACGACGTCGTTTAGGTTAGTAATCTTTTACTTTCATACTTCTATTATATCTGGTTCAAAAAAGAAAGAAAAAATGTGTCCCCCTTAGGTCAGTGCCTTTGTACCCTGTTCTGTAATTGGTGGCAGTCTCTAAGCATACGTGCAACATGTGGTTGTTGGAGAGAGGGCAAAGATTATTATTGAAATTCAATCTACTGATACTAGTAATCTGATTGGTTGTCTGAACCAGTTTATTCTGTAGCGATTGAATGTGAAAACCAAAATCTAGACACTGTCCAACTGAGAAATCTGTTCTTCAAAAGCCTTTAAATTTCCAATTTTGAGAATAAATTTGACTATCATTTGATTGGACACACTTGTCTGATCTGGTATTTTGTATTCCTGATGCAACTTATATTTAGTGAAAAATTAGACGTGTTGTGCGGGAACAATTTGGATAGAGTTGAGATTTCTTGATAGTTGCTTCTCCTTGGTCCTCCCTGTCTAAAAATTTCAAGAACATTTCTTTAAGCGTAATTGTTCTTGATTTGGAGGGCAGGGGAAGGGAGTTTGAAATGAGTGCTTACTGGGTTATGGCATATGGATTGTTGTTTTAGGTGTCTGATGGACTGCTAGTCCATGTTTATAGTATTTCTTTTTGTTTATTTTGATAAATTGTGTGTTACTTATCGGATTGGATTCGGTTTTGGCCTTCCTTGTGGGCATCTACTTCATCAGAGTTTAGGGAGTTTACCCTTTATTTTATCTATTTGGATTGGAAAGCAGCAGTATCATAGAGATATTTATTTCAAGTGTAATGTGGTAGAGAGGTGTCTTTGTTTAAGTTTCTGGTTGCACGTTTGGTGGATTTCTTGTTCACCGATTGTACACGTGGTTTAAAAAAAAAATAGAATTGTTGTTTGTTATAAAAAAAAGGGTGTGGTGTTTTACAAAGTAGAGAGGTGTTACAAAATTCAATGTTTTTAAATAAGGAGCACATTTTATTAATTGTTAAATTATACAAGTGGGTTGAACGAGATGTCCATCAATATTCACAAGATACACTAATTTGGAGATAAACAAGCATTGGGTCTTTTTGTCTTTTAAAGCATATTGAATTTGAAAGAGTACAAGACCGCGGACAAGATGTCCATCCAAAGATACATTGCTAGCCTACTCTATCTCAATTGAAATCCCCAAAAAATACTAGACTGAAAAACAGCTAGTGTACGGCAGCCTTCCACTCTAATAGAATATCAGAAAAAGAAATATCCCTATTTACTCATACAGGTGCCTACAGTGAAGCCAAAAATCTGATATGCTAGATCACTATTTTACTAATCCATGCCATGCTGGAGATTATGTAGTTAGTGTGTGTATTTTTTTATATATTCGGTATGTAGTTAGTGAGTACATTTTACTGTTGATTGCTGTCCTAAATTGCATTTCGATTGCCAGGTTTTAATAGAAATCTCACGGTGTCTTCTTTTACAGGTCTGGATATATGTGAGCAGTTCATGGATGTGAATGATATGATAAAAGATGAAGACCTTATTTTGCACAGCTCGCATGGGAATGGAATTAATCCAAGAGTTTATACATCACATAATATCCATCAGTTGGTTGCGAATATGGTACCTAGTGTATTATCAAAAAGACCAAGTCCAAGGGAACTGAATCTTTTAAAACGAAAAGCAAAAATCAATTCAAAAGACCAGTCAAAGGGTTGGTCTGAGGATGGGGATATGGAGGTGTCATGTGCTCAAAATATAACACTGAAGGGCTCATGTCCTGACTCATTTGGGACTAATAAGGTACTAGATTGCCAATTGATCAATATTTTTGGTGCTAGCTGATTCAAATGTTGTATGTCAAATTCGTAAGCTATTGCATATGGAGGCATCTCACTTGGTAGTAATAAAATGTTTTGAAGCTTCTGATGTAATCTTTGTTATCGTATTGTTCTGCTCAGTGGTATTTATTTTGTAGGAGAGTATTAAAAAATGTTCCTGGGGGGAAGCTTCTAGTGTAGGGCAATTCAGGGACAAGCGGTTATTGTTGGATAAATTTTGCATGTGATTTTGATGATAAGGTTGCTCTTTCTGAAGCTCAGGCTTGTTCTTAAAATAGAAAGAAATATTTCAAATTTATGGTAGTTGGTATATGTTTTAATTTGAGTAAAAAAAATTGAAAGTTCTAATCCAGAGTTAATTATGAAAGTGGAATCCAGTCTTGACTGAAAGAACTTAATGTGAAAACAATCATAAATTACTTTTAAAATGAACATCAAGTAATAAAACATCAACTCTTAATGTGAAAACATATACCAACTCTTGATTAGAACTTAATTTTTTGCGGTTTTAATTTTTTTATTTTCTCAAGTAATAAATTACATTAATGTGAAATACGTGAAAAGAAACCATTGTTTGCGGGATTTTTTTTTTTTTTTTTTTTTTTGGGGGGGGGGGGTTTTTT